CAGACACCTTCGCGTCGTGAAATCATCACGGCGGACGGTGTTCTGCCATGTGCGGCCTCCAGGGGCCTTCGCTGGGCCCTGGGGCCGTCAAACAGCGACTGGGGATGACAAACGGGTGCTTGCGAAAAGGTCAGAGCTTTCCGGGGACCCCAGATTGAACAGAAAAAAACATGGGGACATGGGATGTCTGGGCGGAGATCTGGGTCCACATCTTCCCCGCGGGCACGGTACACGGAGCCGCCCCCCCCCATTGTCGGCCACGCGCAGATGGGGGGGGGCTTCTTAGAATCGGGCCGGACGAAAGGGGGGGATTGGGAAAGGGGGGGTTACGAAGTCTGCTGCGTGCAGCTGGTTTTGCCCCCACTCAGTGGCCCATTCCTCGATACACTAGCCGCCTCCGGCGCCGGGAGGCGCCGGGAAATCAGCTACGTGAGCTGATTCTGAACCCCCCCTTTGCTATCCCCCTCTTTCGCCCGGCCCGATAGAAGCAGCCTCCTTTTCAGAAGTCTTCCCCCCTCCCCCATACCCCCCTCTGTGCGCCCCCACGGGGAGGACGAGGAGGAGGAGGAGGAGGAGGAGGAGGAGGAGGAGGGTAGAGAGGAGGGGGAGGAGGGGGAGGAGGAGGAGGAGGAGGAGGAGGAGGAAGAAGAGGAGAAGTGTAATACTTTACGAGATCGAGCTGATAATGAAACATCTCGTGCCAAACAAGCTGGTTTCCATGACTGGCTCTATCAGAGCCTCCGAGGGGGGGCTAAGGTGGCCCACTGGCACACTAAGACCTGGGGACATCCCGAAGCCATTCCAGCCCAAGAAGGACACGGAAGGCGACCCACTCTGGGATCCTTCGGAGGCTCTGGACATCAAGCAGACCCGCTGGCAGGCACTCTGGAAGGACCCTGAAGGCCGAGGGCATCCAAATACACAAGGCTGGTGGCAAGTTGTTCGACAACACGCACAGGCCCAAGTGGATGAGCTCCCAGAGTTTCAAGTCCCGCAGGTCGTAGCAGCTTGCCAGGCTTTCCCGAGCTCCATGGGCATGGGGGCCGACCAGTGGAACCCCAAGCTCTGGGACGACTTGCCTGAGGAAGCTCACAACGAGCTAGGTGCGCTCCTCCAGGACATCGAGCGCACGCGCGCCTGGCCAGAGCAGATCCTCTTGAATGAAGTCGGCATGCATCCCAAACCCTCGGGGGAAGGGGACACACCTATCACCCGTACCCAAGGGCTGTACCGAACCTGGTCTCGACAGAAAAGAAGCCGTCACGACCTGGGAGAAGGAGAGGAGCAGGGGGTTGGGGATGCGGCTGTGCGAGGCTCCGACCTTTTTTAAGAGCAGCGCTTCTCCGACGCGCCGAGGCAGAAGCAGCGAACTGGATTTCTATTCATTGGGCCGTCCCTCCTCCTAGATGCTGAAAAGGTGGTTCGACACGCTGGGCCCCTTCTGGGTATACACCCTTGGGAAAGCACTGGACTGCCCCCTCAACGCCATGTTCATGGGCATGTGGCACGCGCGTGCGCACGGCAGACAGGTGCTCATACTGGGGCGAGAGGCGTCCGGATACATCACGGTCGAGCGCTCCAGACTACAGAGGTGCGTGCAGAGTGTTAGCTGGGCGCGCGCATATCTGCACGGCGTGTTAGACCGTGCTCTCGCACGGTATAGTCCTATGGAAGTTAGCACGCGGGTGGGCGACGTCTCCCTTTCTCTCTCCTCGAGGGCCCCAAGGCTATCGTGCACAGGCTGACCGCCCAGGGCGCCGCGGATTTGGCATGCCAGATGAGAGCCCGAGGTCTCCGTCTCTCAGGAAAGTTCCAGCTCCTCGGCAGCAACACCCTCCCAGTCAAAGGGGTCCACAGGCCGCTCCAGAAGGCAGGTGTCCACGTCCAGGTGACTACCCAGACGAGGGACCTGGGAATCGATTTTGCGTCAAGGAGGCGATCCATTCAGGTCACCAAAGGCCGGCTGGAAAGAAACAACAAAAAAACCTCGCCATGGCCTGGCGGGTGAAGAAGTTTCTCAAAGATAATAGGCAAGCCAGCAAGCTCAATCTCACTGGGGTTAAGCCGCAAGCTTCCTGGATAATGATGACCCAAGGGGCCTCGCCCACCGCTCCCAAGCAGCTTCGGTCCAAGATGGCCGCCCTGACTGGCAAGCGACGAGCTGGAGGGTGTGCTGCGGTAGCGATGCGACTCGGCCCTGGCAAGAAAGGCGACGCTTTGTTTTTCGCCCGCCATGTCATGGCCACGGCTTGGCTGCACATCTTCCCCGCCCTCATGCGCGAGAGGGTCGACTTCCAAGCCGCCTGGGCCAACTGCGCCGAGGCGATGAAGGCTGCTGCACACCCGTGGGGCAAAGTCAGAGGCCCCATAGCCGCACTTGTCACCGCGCTCATCCAGAACGGAAGGAGCCCCCAGCTCCCCTGGCAGTGAAAGGACCCCCACGGAGATACCTACTACGTGGTCCCCGGCGAGGCCCCACCAGGAAGAGCCCACTTCTACTCGGAGGCGGCCTCGGGCTCTAACCCAGGATGGCAACGGTGCGTCTTAGCTGAAGTTGAAGGCGCATTCGAGCAGCAGATCTGGAGGGACTTTGCAGCCAAACAGTTGCGTGGCGGAGGCCTCGAAACCGGTGCCGGCCTGACCGTGCTCTCAAGGCTCATCCGTGGCCCCCGGCGCGCGCAGCGCCATGGACATGCAGCACTGCTCGAAGGCATAGCTACAGGAGCCCTGCGGCCGGGAGATCGGCGTTTCCCTGACGACCCTGATCCACAATCATGCCCTCGGTGTACGGCAGCACGCCTCCACCCCCTGCCTGTCGAAGACATTCTACATCAACAGTGGAAGTGCCCATGCCCCAACGCAACAGCGCACGCGGCCTGTGACCTTCCCCCCGCAAATTGAAGGCGAACATGACGAGCAGGCTTGTTTCTGGCATCGTGGAATCGTGCCGATCCTTTGGGTTTACCCACACATTGACAAGCTCCCAGAGTGGAGGTTTGAGTGTTCTGGAGGTGTTGATCAGGACCAGCATCTACAGCTCCCCCCAGATGCCCTTGCCGGTACTGATGGAAGTGGAGGCGGCCACGACAGTGACCCGAGGCTCCGTAAATGTGGCTGGGGTTTTGCTATTTGGTCCCTGGTTGCCATCCTTGGGGAAGCCTGGGGCCCTCTTCTCAGGCGGCACCAGACGGCGCCCCTGGCGGAGCTGGAAGGCCTCGCCCAGGCCCGCAAACACACCGAGGGACCAGCCACCTTTGTTGTAGAGTGCGCCGGCGTTTTGAAACAATCATGCGGGCCCAGGCCAGGTCCCGCCCTTGCACGTTGCAGCGTGGGCTCGATTTGGGCATGAGTTCAACGCCAGGCCAGGGGAAGCGCAGCTTGTTAAGATTAAGAGCCAACTCGCAGAGGCTGGCATGGGCCGACTTGTCCCCGAGGGTGGTTTCCGATGTAATGAGGCTTCTGGCGAGGCGGCTAAGAGAGGAGCTGCCTTCGCCCAGCGTTTCCCTGAATCCCTTGCCGAGGTTGCTCGCATCGATTCCCTGGCCAAGAAGGTGTTGGAACACCTGCTCGAGGTAGGAGAGACGGCGGTCCTGGCCAGGCAGACTGACGCCAGAGCCCCAGGGGCCCCGACCCCAGCCGATTTCGTTGCCGCCCGCATACAGCGGCGTGATGGCCGAATCGTTGCACGACTGGACGCCCGCCAAGCTATCACCCACCAAGTGATTCCACGGCGAGACTCCTCTTTTGGTTCCGTATGCTTGACAGCGCCTACCAGCCACCTGCCCACCAACGAATGGCTGGCGGCCCCGTGCAGAGGCCTCCCCCATCAGATCCAGTTCCTACAGGATTCGGTGCCTGCGCGGGCTGTGGTGGTGCGAATTGTGTGGTGGTTCGGGGCACACTCGCTTCAATAGCTTGGGGAAGGAATGCCAGCGCCCAGCAGCTGCTGGTAAGAAAGCGCTGGATTGGCTTGCCAGAGGACTTCCCCCACCCAACCGGGATGCCTGGCCAGACGAGTCAGGGCCACGTCCACGGTAAGCCATCCAGCCCCATTTTTCAAGGGCCCTGGCATCTGTACCAGACTCAGGCCCTCGTGGAGTCGCTCCTGGGAGGAGGAACAGGAGGAGGATGGGGGGGAAGATGGGGGAAGAGGAGGAGGAGGAGGAGGAGGAGGAGGAGAAGGAGGAGAGGAGGAGGAGGAGGAGGAGGAGGAGGAGGAGGAGGAGGAGGAGGAGGAGGAGGAGGAGGAGGAGGAGGAGGAGGAGGAGGAGGAGGAGGAGGAGGAGGGGGAGGAGGAGGAGGAGGAGGAGGAGGACGAGGGAGGAGGAGGAGGAGGAGGAGGAGGAGAGGAGGAGGAGAGGAGGAGGAGGAGGAGGAGGAGGAGGAGGAGGAGGAGGAGGAGGAGGAGGAGAGAGGAGGAGGAGGAGGAGGAGGAGGAGGAGGAGGAGGAGGAGGAGGAGGAGGAGGAGGAGGAGGAGGAGGAGGAGGAGGAGGAGGAGGAGGAGGAGGAGGAGGAGGAGGAGGAGGAGGAGGAGGAGGAGGAGGAGGAGGAGGAGGAGAGAGGAGGAGGAGGAGGAGGAGGAGGAGAGGAGGAGGAGGAGGAGGAGGAGGAGGAGGAGGGGGAGGGGGTGGAGGAGGTGGAGGAGGAGGAGGAGGAGAATGAGAGGAGGAGGAGGAGGAGGGGAGGAGGAGGAGGTGGAGGGGAGAAGGAGGAGGAGGAGGAGGAGGAGGAGGAGGAGGAGGAGGAGGAGAAGAAGAGGAGGAGGGGGAGGAGGAGGTGGAGGAGGAGGAGGAGGAGGACTTGGAGAAGGAGGAGGAGGCGGAGCAGGAGCAGGAGCAGGAGCAGGAGCAGGAGCAGGAGCAGGAGCAGGAGCAGGAGGAGGTCCGTAGCCCCTGCCCCTTGGGCGCGCCGCCACGTGCGGCAGTGCCGTGGGAGTCCTGGCTGCGCTCCGGCAGCTCTGGGCCCGGCCCGCCAGGGCCCCGCGCAGCTCCCGCCGCAGGCGCCCGCTCCGACTACGCCGACGCGGACGAGGCCGGCCGCCGCGCGCCTGGCGCCCGTCGGCCGGCGGTTCGTCTCGGAGTCGGCGGCGCGCAGTCATGTAATGCTCGGAGGGGAAGGGGGAGGGAGAGGGGGGAGGGGAGGAGCGGAAACACGAGGAGGAGGAGGAGGAGGAGGAGGAGGAGGAGGAGGAGAAGGAGAAGGAGGAGGAGGAGGAGGAGGACGACGACGACGGGGACGAGGACGAGGACGACGAGGAGGATGAGGAGGAGGAGGAGGAGGAGCAGGAGTTGTTTTGCCGATCGGCGCGGGCCCTCGCACCCCCCTCCCCCCCCGTGGAGTAGATCTTTGATATTTCTGGCGCCTGTTTCAGGCAGGTGGAGTCTCCCCCATGTGATCGTTGTCTTGTTCATTATTTTGCCGATCGGCGCGTGCCCTCGCACCCCCCCCTCCCCGCCCCCCCGCGGAGTAGATCTTGGCTGTGTTCTGGCGCCTGTTTCAGGCAGGTGGAGCCTCCCCCACAGGACGCACTTTGGCAAACAGTCGCATTCGGCAGAGGTTCGGAACCAGACATCCCCCCGCTCCCCCCATCCCTTCCACCATATGTCGAAACGCCGAATAAGAAAACGTTCACCATCGGGTCGGACGAACGGGTGGGTTACGGTCAGGAGCTTCGGTCGCAGGCGGTTTTGCTCCCCCAGTCCCGATTTTCCAATAAAACGGAGGCGTTCAGAAAAGGAGGGGAGCCTTGGGATATACCCCAAGGGGGCTATTCGGACGCACCGCTACAGTCGAGTTTGATTAATAGGTCGACCCTGCCCAAGCAAGGGTACCCTTGTGACCTGTGTTTCGCGGCCCATGCCCTCTACGTTCCACTGGCAATGTGGGCATCGGAAGAGTCTTGTGTCCTCTCGCGTGTCCTCTCCTATCCACCCCGACTGTATCGAGGATGGACGCCCCCCCATCGCAGATCCCAGGGTGTGGGCCCGAAGTTTGGGGTCCATTCGAAAGCACCACGAAGCCTGGGATAGGGGTCGACACATCCCTTGTTAGGACGGGTTGGTTACGGTCAGGAGCGTTGGCTTAGCGTGTCACTCTGCTGGTCCTGGCCCACCACGCTTTGGCGCGACACGCTATCCACGTCCCAGTCCCCAAGCGTCAACATCCCAAGCTCTTGCTGGCCTTCCGCCCCGCGGAGCGGAGCCGAGCGACACGCATCGGCCGCAGGACACAGCTTGTCGCCGTGACCGCCGCCGCGACACGCTGAGCAGCGATTCCCGACTGTAGGGGTAATCTCTTGGGGTACGCAGGGCAAGACCGTACCACATTGCGGCGGCGACCCCGGAGGAGGAGGAGGAGGAGGAGGAGGAGGAGGAGGAGGAGGAGGACCAGTGTAAACCCAAGAATCATCAACGATGTTGGAATTCATCCTCCCTCCAAGCTCCCTTTTCGTAGGCCCCTATAACGGTTCATTTCCATTGAGCGAACTGCCTCGTTGGAAGACAACCGACCGTTTGAAGATCTTGAAGCATGCCAGAACATTGTTCTATGGATTTCAACGCCACGTATCAACTTCAACACCACCGACCAACATAACTGCTGCACCCGCGTAACCCTGAATCCTTCCAACCATGTCTGGTACGTTGTTCATGAGAGTCCGTGACACTCTTGCAAACGAATATGCGCGGCGCTCCAGCGAGAGCCACTGTTTGAAAACGACCCGCCCTCAACCCATGTAAAACAAATAAAAACGAATGTGCGCGGAGCTAGGGCGAGAGCCACATTTTGAAAACGGCCCGCCCTCAATCCGTGAAGATCTTGCACATTGTTAGAACGAATGTGCGCGGCGCTAAGGCGAGAGCCACCTTTTGAAAAGGAGCCGCCCTCAACCCGTGAAACTCTTGTAAATGTTTAAGACGAATGTGCGCGGCGCTAGGGCGAGAGCCACATTTTGAAAAGGAACCGCCCTCCATTCGTGAAGCTCTTGTAAATGTTGAAGACGAATGTGCGCGGCGCTCCAGCGAGAGCCACTGTTTGAAAACGACCCGCCCTCAATCCGTGAAGATCTTGCACATTGTTAGAACGAATGTGCGCGGCGCTAGGGCGAGAGCCACATTTTGAAAAGGAGCCGCCCTCAACCCGTGAAACTCTTGTAAATGTTTAAGACGAATGTGCGCGGCGCTAGGGCGAGAGCCACATTTTGAAAAGGAACCGCCCTCCATTCGTGAAGCTCTTGTAAATGTTGAAGACGAATGTGCGCGGCGATAGGGCGAGAGTCACATTTTGAAAACGACCCGCCCTCAACCCGTGACACTCTTGCAAATGTTTAAGACGAATGTGCGTGGCGTTAGGGCGAGAGCCACATTTTGAAAACGACCCGCCCTCAATCCGTGAAACCCTTGCGCATGCTTTAATCGAATGTGCGCGGCGCCAAGGCGATAGCCGCATTTTGAAAGTGACCCGCCCTCAATCCGTGAATCTCTTGCAAGATGTTGTAAGGAATGCGCGCGGCGCTAAGGCGAGAGCCACATTTTGAAAACGACCCGCCCTCCATCTGTGAAACCGTTGTCACTTTTGAGCTTCAGAGTCAGAAATGGTGAGGAAGTCTCAGGCGAAACGCACGGCCTGCCCTAAAAACTGGCCTCGGGGTGCGACAGGGAGAAGTTGTCTATAAGGAGCAAAGGAATGGAGGAGGAGGAGGAGGATGAAGAGGGGGAGGAGGAAGAGGAGGAGGAGGAGGAGGAGGAGGAGGAGGAAGAGGAGGAAGGGGAGGGGGATGATGATGATGATGATGATGATGAGGAGGAGGAGGAGGAGGAGGAGGCGGCGGCGACCCCGGCGCGGGCGTTCAAGGTTGAAAATTGCCAGTGGCCAGCAATCGGCCGATGTCGAACGATCGACGCTGTCGGAGAGCCGCGAGCGCTCGAGGGGGCCCGCGGTTCGATCGGTTCGGATGCCTCGAAATCGGGTGCGCCCATCGCGTCGGACGCAAAGGGGGGAGGTGAAGGGATGAGGAGGAGGAGGAGAAGGAGGAGGAAGAAGAGGGAGGAGGAGGAGGAGGAGGAGAAGGAGGAGGAGGAGGAGGAGGAGGAGGAGGAGGAGAGTAGGAGAAGAGGGAGGAAGAGGAGGTGGTGGAGGAGGAGGAGGAGGAGGAGGAGGAAAAGAGGGAGGAAGAGGAGGAGGAGGAGGAGGAGGAGGAGGAGGAGCAGAAGGGGCATGGGAAATGGGTGCGTCCGAATCTGCTGCATGCAGCTGGTTTCGCCCCCGCCGCCTGGCGCCTTTCCTCGATAGACTGGCGCCTCCGGCGTCGGGGGGCGCTGGGATGCAGAGCTCGCCTGCCTCGGCGTCCTAGGGTCGGCTACGCTCGGGGCCGCCCAAGCCACGATATCTCCACGGACTTCATGGCCATTTCTTTTCTCTCGGCACTCAGGAGGGGAACCGCACACAACAGGCACCAGGAGTCGTCGACCCTCGGGAGCATGCGGGAAATGGAGGAAGGCGGGGGGGGGAGACACGAAAGCCCCGAAGATCTGCGAAACTGTGGGGAGTCTTTGGAGCTGTGCCTATTCACTCGTGCGCCCCAGGGCCCCGTCAGACGCGTCCCCTGGTCCCCCCTCGTCCGCGCGCGCGCCTCGGGCCGGGAGTTCTGCGAACCCCCCTATAGATCGGACGCCCCCGACGTGCGAGGCGCCCTCCCCGGCACCCTTTGCGTTGAGCCGGGCATGCCCTTCTGCAGGAGGAGCATGCGAAGGCACTCTCCGAGCAATCCTCTGGGGACCACTCGTCGACTTTGATCTGGACTGTCTTGGAGCACATTAATTTATGAATAAATGTATGCATGAACTCATCGTTGCTTTTAAGACAAAATCCCTGCATGTTTAATACATGATCCGCACGCGGAGCATGTATTAAAAACGGCTTTGTACTTGGGGGCTATGTCTTGCTTTTCGCCCCAGAGTCCGCCTGTAGGAGGACCTGCCACGCCTGCCTAACTCTCGGACGCCCCCGAACGGAGTGGCCCTCCGGGGCGCTCCTGCGTCGTCGGCGAAGCACGAGGGAAGGCTTCTGGTGAGCTCCCGGCTGCGCGAGCCCGCGCAGGGGGTCAGACATTCAAGGAAAAAGGAGGCACCTGCGGCCAGTCCGCCAGGTGCCGACGGTGTCACGAAAGAGGGGGCAGTTGTTCCCTCCCTTCTTCGAAGGCCAAAACAGCAGGTTCCAATAACTTTGCTTGACATCTTCTGTCAATTTTGGTGTGTACGAAGGAGTCCCAGAGGAAACAGGGATGTCATTTGTGACAGCGTCGGCCTGCCCCGTGTGGTTGGTTGTGGCAGGTCCTGAAGAGGATGGCCAACCACACGCCGAAACGCTGAGGGCGAACTGGACCAGGGGTGCCCGAATAGTTCGGCATACTCAGTCCGAGACCAAAGGAGGATCCCAAGACCAAGATAATGCAGATTAAATTGCACTTGTGTTGACATATAGTTGCTTTAAGAATCCTTCCATTCAGAGTTGACATGATGTTGCACGTGTTGTGATATGACAGGCAAGTAACGCCTTTCGCCCAGCGCGAGAGAAGGGGCGGGCCGGCGGGCCTTCTTCTCATCGCCGAGCGCGTTCCACTACTCGCAAAGTGCCTATTCGCAGACGCCCGAAAAGCCATACGTCTGCCCTGTTGTAATATATCGTGCATTCCCTGCGGCAGATCCAGGCCATTTGCGAGTAGCGACTCTGCGAGTCGCGGAGCGCGCTTCTCGATATCAAAAGGCTCGGAAGTCCCCCGGCCTGTCTTCTGAGCCTCTCCCCGACGACGCAGAACGTTTTTCAGAAGGCGCGAGAGCTTCTGAGAAGTTTCGCCGCCTTCTGAGAAGGCCTTCTCCTCCTTCTCACTTTTTTTCCCCCGGCGCCGACTGTTGTTTTTGGGCCCTGACTCGGGCATCCGGCGGCTCTCAGGGACGCTCGCGGCACCCCCTAGAACGCTCTCGCCGATGCGCAGCCGCTGGCACGCATCCCCGGGTTGGAAAACCGTCGACGTG